CCTTGAAGTATTAAAGGCTGCCACTGCAAAAGCTTTGAGGGAAGCTTTTACAAGCAGGCTATTGGTTTGTATATTCATAAGTGCAGGGCCACTGCCCACTACCTCTCATAAAAAAGTAGAGCAGAGGATCTACAGCTATAATAAAGAAATGGAACGAAAATGGTAGAACTAGCAATTTCTGACTCTAATATTCTCAAATTTAAACTTGGGTGCTACAGATGAACGTCAACACTGCAAAGGAACTTGAATAAGCCATGACAAATGTTGTTATGCAGCTGTTAGAAATCTTTTTCCCTTCCTTATTTGGATTTTACTGCAAGTTTCTCAAGTCACCTCTGCTTTTGTGTGATATGATTTGAGTAGCGTGGCATAATTTACAAAAGCATTCAAGCATTATGCCAAAAACCTTTACTGACTAAAAGATGTTCCAGTCATGATTTAATGTGTGCATTTCTGGAACACTGTGAAGAGCTGAGATGAGACAGGGTGGGAGGTGTTTCTGCTGCCTCTCTGATTTCTGTTTTCCCTCTCCAAAATATTTAGATCTGCCTTCTGTCAGTCCCAACCCATTCAAGCCAAAAAGGTAACTATAGAAACATGGTGACCTCTCTAATGGCTCAATCTAATGGAATAAAATTGTTTTGTAATGTGCTTTTAGAGCCTGAGAATGAACTGTCTTGCATTGTTCAACACATTCAGAAGTTGAGGAGGAGAATGGTCAAGAATAGGATTTCCACAGGCAGAGATTTTTATTTTATTTATTTATTTTATTTAATTGCTGTCAGTTATTAATTCCAATTCCCCTGATAATATGGTCATTTTCTCTTTCTGAATAATACAAAGCCTAAAAATTGCCTCAATTTAACTGAAAGAAACCATAAAACCATACTAAAACCAAAATCATAGTAATTGGGTGGTCTGCTGGCAGAGAAGGTAAATCACACTCTTTTCTAGGTTTTCTAACGAATGTCCTGAAGATGTTGTTTTTTTCCCCTTTGGTTTTTCTTTGCCTGTATTTTAAAAACACTTAATGGAAACTAGCCCCAGTGGTTAATCCCACGTGGCATGAGTGCAACTTTCAAATGTCATGGTAAAGTCGCTTTTGAGCTCTATCTGTAATACAGCACAGCACTCTAGTGGCCACAAGGGTAATAATTGTCTCTCTCGTGTGTGTGTGTGTG